ATAAAGGCGATAGATGTGAAGTTAGAAAGAAAAGGAGTTAGAGTTAAGTTTGTCTGGGTACCCGGTCATGTAGGAATACACGGTAACGAGCTTGCTGATTATCATGCAAAACAGGCCTTGTCCCTACCTGAACCGGCTGAAAAACAGGAGGTCTCTTCCCTCTTCCCACCTATCAAGTCAGATATTTTACGGCGGTCTAAAGAGTATCTCCTTAGTTTGTCACGCCATAAGGGCGGTCGTTATTTTAGGTATGTACCGGAACCGCTGGGCAAACCTTGGTACTCTAGGACTAAGAAAGGAANGTTCCTCCCAAGACAGTTAATCACCCTAGTGTCTAGGATCCGTACACACCACACAGCAGTGAACAGTCACCTGTTTGAGAAAAATATAGTTGATAGTGCTATGTGCCAGTGCGGCCAACCGGAGCAGAGTGTTGATCATGTATTCTTTCATTGTCCATGCAATAAAGATAGTACAGACAGGTTGCTGATTGATTTGTACCACAACGGGTTTAGCCCTCCGTATAGTGTGGAAAAGGTTGCCTTTTCCAGTAATTTTAGCGCCATGTTTGCTTTACTAAAGTTCGTCAATACAGCCAACATAAGTATATAACTGTCCTAGCGGAACGCTGTCTCCTTTGTAAACAAGCTTTTACCCTTCCCTCCCCTTCCCCTTCTACTCCTTTTACGTTTACTCTTCCCTTCCTGCTTGTTACCTGTCGTTACTAAGTCCTTAGTCTCAGTACACAGCGCAGCAGACAGACTGGTGTCATATCCAAACCAACCTGTGCGCGCTTAAAGCAAAGACTGGCCGGTGCCTAAACAGTTAAAGGGGCACGGAGCCATAAGTGCAAAGAAGAAGAAGAAGACTATTACTTGTAAGTGGATTATATTTTTATATAGAATCGTGATAGATTTTGAAGGAATAATTCTTAACACAAGTAATAATTTCTCAACCGCGTGATGCAATTGTGACCATTTTCCGGCTCTGTAACCATTTTTCTCTCTCTGGTTTTAGTGTTTTCTCTGGACGTAGTGCAATGTATTTATCCTAAATTTTTGTGATATCATTATTTATTATTTATTTATATTATGCAACGCGTTGTCGCGGTCGACATTTGAAATCCGCCGGTGTCGCACTTGCATCATATATATGTACGCAAAATACGTACGGCGTATCCAATCGAATCGCAAAAGGGTTATCTTATCTAAAAACTGGCGTACGAGTTTCCTCTCTTCATTTTCAATGAATCATTGAACGACATTGAATTGAACTGACGCGTACGCCCACGTGTGTCATGGTCTTGTCAATTGTTGTCGTAAAGCTACTTCAAAAGTGTAATAAGAAATAAATCTTGCAGTGTCGGCTGCGTTAAGAATCCAGCTGATTTATCATCTAACTGAACTGAAATGACGCGGGAAATTAGTATCATCGCCAAGGTACTTGCAATCTTTCTTTTTCATTATTAGTACAGTGATTGAGATCGCGAAAGATAAAAGCGTTTGATTGTTATTGTATCTCCCAGATGAAATGTGTGGAGGACAGTTTGCAAAACACTTGGTACAAGGTTCAAGTGATCGAGCAGAAGCTGAAAACTAAGTTATTTACCATCGAGAATCGCGAGAGATTGGAGAACGAATTGAAAAAAGTCAAAGAGGTTCTCAAAAAAAACGAAGAAGAATTGAAAACTTTAAGAAAAGAGAACTCAAAATCTTTCATGATAGCATTGTGTCTGGTCTTCCTATGTTTTCTTTTCTATGGGGTGTATATGATGATTTATGAGAACGTTTAGTTTCTTGACTGACGGATTATGACTATTGATTTACTCGGATGTAGATTGTGTAACTCATCTCTGGAATAAGATGGTGGTTTAATCATTTATCAATTGATACAATGGATGGTTTGGTTTGGTGCTCTTTTGGCTCGGTGGACCTATAAAGCTAGTCCATACGCCATTCTATGTCTTTGATAACAGATTTAAAACCGTAGGTTGGGTTCCTGACGTCAAGCCACGAAGTTGTATATTTGTTTAAATTAAAGATAATAATAAAGAAAGTGGTATAAAACACCGACAATTGTCCAAAAATATTCACAACGTAACTACATCCAACCGATACGGCTGATGCAATCCAACTTACCATAGACACAGATGTAGCATCTTTTTCTTGATACAACAGAGATCACAAGTACTGAAGTTTATTTAGGAATAAGAGGGAACATTTTAAGATATATTTGTAATCATTTTTTAATTTTGATATTTTGTATATATGTAATATATAGTACCTAGATACAATTACACCCTTAAATTATAATACCGCCAATATCAATATTGTAAGTACATATGAACAAAACAGAAAAATAGGCCTATGTATCGATGTAACATATGCAAATGTTAATAAACATAAATTATTGTTTATAATTAAATATTTTACTTAAACAAATTAATTTTTCTGCATTTGTGCGTTAGCTTAAATTTAAATTTATATTTTATAGGACACAAGACTCCTCTTCCCTGATAATTAGTGTCTGTTTTTGCTCGTCATGCAGCTTTATTTCTAAATTTTATAAATGCAAGTTTTAGGAAATGCAATTTTCACTATATAATTCTAGTAATTTACACCAGCGTTGCTTGCTACATTAAGTCATACAACGGAATGCGCGCAAACCTGATCGTTCATCTTAAAATTAAACAGAACAGATTTCTTAATTTTGTATCGTTTGATTTTTATCTCTTAGTGGTTAACATGTCGTAATTAGGTATCCCCGTCATGTAACTCTTTATGTACTTGGCGTGTACTTCGGTTTCCAGGTAAGTGCCACGCACCGCCGGATGGTCTTTCATAGCGATTTTCCATTCAAACTGTATTGAAACAAAAAAACATCGCTTTAATAGTGACGATCTCTAATTGTATACACACACATCGCCTTCTAACACAGCGATATTGTATTTACCAGACACAGGAACCGCTGTTTAGGTGCCACAAAGTCCTCCCCTCGTATGAGCCTGATAACATCCGCTCTCTCGCACCACGGCCAAATCATGAAATCCACCATACCTGGCTCAGAACCTCCGAAGAAGGGAGTTCCTCTCTTCTTCAACTCTTGCTCGAAAATGTCTAAACCAGTTAATGCCTCTTGAAACGACCGTTGATCAAAAGTTGTCAAATAAAATCCCTAAACACGACATCCTCCAATGAAATGCAAACGGTTTTGATTTACACTCACGTGTAAAAAAGAAAAATGATCAATCTACCTTGTACATAGGCGTTATCACTGAATTAAATCTGTCGATCAAGAGTCTGTCTTTAGCTTTCTTCAAGGGATCGTTTGGATACAGTTTGTTCTTTGGATAAGTTTCATCCAGATAGTCGGCAATAATTAAACTCTCGTACAATATTTCCCCTCCTGGCAGTTCGATGCAGGGAACCTTCTGCAAGGGATTTTTGTCCACAAACCATTCCGGTTTTTTCTGTAGATTTAAATTCACTGCGTCATATCTAAAAATAAAAATCCACACATAACAGGTAGGATACACATGTGTCTATGTAAATAAGTGCTTACATAATGTTATTCAACATTTATTATTTCGAGGTCAAATCGATCTTCGGTGCAATCGCGCAAGTAAGTAAATAAAAATATTTAACATATATATATTTACGGAATTTGCTTAGCGTCCAGCACCAGGTGTATTCTCTGCGCGTAAGGGCAGAATCTCATGCTGTACAAACGTATTTTGCCAGGCGCGAGAGGCGGCGGCACCGATCCTGAAAGAAACAAGAAACCGTCCAGAATTCCAAACAAACGTTCTGCCGTTATACTCGTCAATTCGCGATCATCAGTCACGCGATTTATATAAATTTTTGCAAAAAAATAATATTTCTCTTAATTTTTATTCACCAGTACTCAAATGCGGCGTGTTGGACATTTTGACATCCGGTCGGTTAGTTGCGAAATGTGAAGTTTTTAGAAAAACTTCGCAGAGGAGCGATCCTGATATTTCCACTACTCGGGCGGCGGCGTGCCGGCGGCAGAGAAGAAATAAATATATCGATGACCGCGCGAGTCGGCAAAAGCTCGTCTAGCTGCACGTACAGGTGTCGCGATTACACACACGTGTCCTTGACACAACGAATCCTGCGTATCACGGCACACATGCGCGCCTCGTCTAGCTGGAATCTAATTTCTTCCTTTCCTTTTCGTCCGTGTTTTTGCTTTCCGACATCGCTCACAATTCGAATTCGATCGTCACAAGTGAGCGGGAAGATGAGAAATACACACATCCGAATCGCGAGATATTTTCAAATGCACCCTCTGTGTGTGACGAGCGGATAAAACCTTACCTGTCGGTAAGATCGGTTTTTCTTTCTCGGACGACGATCGATAAAAAAAGTGTTTCCATTGCGTTACCGACGAATCTGTTCGTCGAAATTCAACCAGGTTTCCGCCAGATAACGCTCCAACATCTCGCGAGAGCTTCGAGCTAACGCAAATTTGTGTAACCTTCGCGGAGATCGGAGAATTCGCGTTCGAGCGAAACGCGGTAACGTTCGAAAAAAATCAATAATATCATATTTACGTTTGTTGTCGCGCTCCGAATGTGCGGTTTTCAATTAATCTATCTTATCATGATCATCAAAATCTTGCTGGCGGTGAGCCGCAAAAAATACGAGCGCGTCTATTAATTGTTTGATTTTTTTTTAACTCGATATTTCTCCTTCCAAAATATAAAATGGCCTCGTCCGAATGGATTCGACGTATCCGGAATTGGTGCAACTTCTGGTAAGAATAAAAGATGCATTTTAATGGAAACCGAATGTGTGTGTGTGTGTGTAAATAAGACAATATGTTATTCCGAACGAAATCGCACTCGTCTTTTGTTTCACTCGCGTCGTTTTTCTCTAAAACGCATCATTTTCGTTGTCATTTCAGCGCAACGCGCGGGATTCGACGTAAGAACCCGATTACCCGAGAAATGTCGTCTTGAGACACACACGTCCCTTATAATTTTAACACGCGCTATTGCATCCGGCCGCAATGTGCATCTGGACGAGGATATTTGAATAATACACGTAGGAGGCAAGATATACCCAGAGAGGGTGAGTAGCACGTAAGATATGTACATGTGTACATATATATGATATGTTATAAGGAGCGCGTATATGTAAGTGGAGGCGGTGTTGATAACGCTAACAGCGAGAGAGGAAGAGTACACACGAGAGAGAGAGAGTATATGGAGTCGATGATGGTGAAATGGGTGTGGAGATTGCGTAGGTGCTGGAGTAGCGGAGCTACTTGGTGGTAGATGGTGATAGTATATAGTGATGGTGGTAATGGACACACATACACCCATACAAAATCATGGCAAGAGGAAAAGAGAGAGAGAGAGAGAGGAAGAGAGCAAGTGAATCAGAGTGAGGAAGAGGGTGAGAGGAGGATGAGGAGGAGGAAGAGAAAGAGAGAAACTCACAGGGCGGAAGAGGACAGGAGAGAGAAAGGGAGGAGGAAAAGGAACGGCGCGGGCGCTGATTGGTAGCAGAATCGATTAGCCAAGCCGAGCTAAACCTCCGGCACCACGTTCGGTGCGGCGACGCCGCGAATTTCCCGAATGGGGGTTTCCCGTTGGGGCGGACCTCGCCGAACTCGGAGAGAATACACACCCCCGGCCCTCTTCTCCATGGCAACCCGACCAATTCGCCAACCGCCGGCAACCGAGACTGACCTACCGTGTGTTCCTGGGGGCTTATTTTTCTCTCCTGTCTTCTTCTCCTCCTGGCGTCTCTCCGCGTGTGTTCTCCTCTTCTCTTGCACCCACCTTCGCGCTTCCTCCATCGCGCTTCGTGTTCTTTTGTGTCTCGCGCGCCGGTCTATACGTTCCCTTTGTCTCGCTTCTTCTTTTTTTTTTTTTTTTTTCGACCAGTTTTCGTTCACACTTACATACACGTACGAGACACGCACACACACACACACACGCGCGCGCGCGGAAGTGGGAGGGAAAAGCTGCGGAATCTCGGTGTTTTTTTTCTCCTCTGATACTTTTCTCCGCTTGTTTTCCGCGCGCGTCTGTTCCCTTCTGTCTCCGTTTCGCTCTCGTCGTATCGTACGCCGAATACTACCTTGCGCGCTTCTCGCGCACAAGATGTCGAAACAAGAGATCGGTTTGAAGTACACGCGTATGGAGAAATATATAACGGTATATAAGGCCTGCATTGATTTTGCCGACGACTGATACAACCCCGTCGGCATGTTTAATTAGAACATGGCGACTTTAATACAAGCGCACGACAACAAGAACAACAACAGCGCTCCCCCCCTCCGCGCTTACTTTTTGAATTTTTTTTTTTTTTCTTTTGTGCCCTCTCTCTCTCTTCGCGAGGAGTTCCGTTCTCACGTCAAAGCGACGAGAAAAATTCCGTGCGCTCTGCCTCTTCGATCCTTTTCTTCGAGAGAGGGGAGGGGATCGCTTATCTACCTAACCCTAAACGCGATCTACGCTAGTTATCCAGACATCCCTCGTTCGTTCGCTCATCCATCATTGTCATCGTCGTCATCATATAGTCATCGCAGCTCATCATTATTCAACCTTCATACATACTTCGAAGTCACGCCCGCTCCGAGAGACTCACGCGCGCGTTACACACACTCTCGCGCTCTCAACGTGCACACACACACGAGAACAAAGTACCTACACGATTATTTCGTATTTTGTGACATCCTCTCTCGTCGCATTCTCGCGCTAAGAGACTAAAATTCTCTCTACACGCCTACGCTACACATGAAAACACCCTATCTACATGAGAGCGCCCTTCGCGCTCGGCGACGACCCGTCGGACCGGATTCGGAAACCGTCGGTATAACGTGTTTTGTTTTGTTTTGTTTTTTTTTTGTTTTTTTTTTCTCCCTTACGGATGTTTCGATCGGTCCCACGGGACGGCCCCGCTCCGAAGAGCCGCGCTAATCGTTAAATTTAACTCTAGGAATGCTTAGGGCATATACTTACGAGTAATATGGTACAGTATACGACTTAAGGAGAGAGTTACGCATCTCTTCGACACGAGGTACGCCTTTCTTTTCGGGGGTGGGACGGATTGCCGACACGTCGAGGAAGAGTCATCTTATTGCGTCGCACTTTGTTGTTCAAAACAATTTCCGGATTTCGTTCCGGAAACTATGCGTAATTTTGCGTAAATCAGTTTTTTTTTCTCTGCGTTTTATATAAAATTTCGAACGTGGGTGTTTTTTTTTTTTTTTTTATATCATCTTCATTATTCATCATCGAGAATATTACCGCGCTCGTTCGCTCGATGTTCAGAAATGCATCCCGAATGCACATTGAGGTTTTTCTTCATTTTGGAAGTTCCAAATGAAGAATCCACGTGTGTTTCGGTAGATTTGAAAGAGTAGGTTTTTTTTTTTTNTTTAGCAAAAAACACACAGCATTGAAAGAAGTGGTTTTCGTAGTGGAAAAAGAAAAATAATTTTCAACTCGAGCTACACCAATTGCTATTTGCTACCGTGAACAACTTTCGCTCCGAATTGTTCGATCGAAAAAACCCGGTCTCGGCAATCCACCCTTCGTCTCATTATGGATAGAGCGGCCACATATATATATATATTATATGTATATATATATATATATATGTATATACCCGACGTGTGATTCTCTAAAGAGAAAGAGAGAGAGAGAGAGAGAGAGAGAGATAGAGAGAGATGGAAGTTTGATTCTGATTGCGTGTGCCGTCAATTGATATGACTTAAACGTTGTACTTTTTTGATTATCGTCTACATTTCTCGATGACGGATGATGAAAATGTGGTTTCGTTGTAAAATTATTATTAATCGAGAAACGGGTGATTCGCACTTAAGCGAGCAGCGTACATGACCGATTCACACACACACACACACACGCACGCGCGCACACACACACACACACTTTCACCAATATACTCGTCGATGGTTCATTCTTCTGCTCGCCCGTCGCCCGATTTGTTTAATGTGGCGTCTCTATCCATTTCTTAACGTAACAAATAAGTTAAAAGAGTTTATGATACACGTATTATAAGAGTTTCTTTTTGATTTGAATCGAACACGCGCACACAAACTCCCGTGCGATCGCGGAATCGAGTCACTCGCGGTGATGATGTCGAGCACGCGAACGATCGTTGCTCGTTATCGAGCAACGCAGTTTTTCGCAGTTTTTCACGTGCACGCATGTTCAATTCAATCCAATTGGAAAAACATCGCCGACGACGTTCGCGAACTTGGCCGGCTTCTTATTTACTGTGTGTGTACGGAGCTTTTTACGTTTCCTTTGGACCAAGAATGTTTCGCGCGTTCAATTTGCCGTCACGCGGTTGTATTACAAAACTCCTATCTTGTTTTTTTCTTTTCCTCCGGAATATTTTCACAAACGTGCGTGGTATTCTTCAAAATTCGTGAGCGCGCGTTGATAAAAAAAAAAAAAAAAAAAAAAAAGAAAATTAAGTTAATTAACGTATGACTAGATACACACAGTTGCGGTGACACATTTCGCTTTGGTATTCGGTATTTATCATAACGCGCGCTCGGGTTTCGGCAAAAATTCTACGGCGTGTATTTTATTTATTTCCCCCCCTCCCCTCCCCCCCCGATAAGAGCAATGACGGCAAAGAGATTCGCGTGAATTCATATCTCACGGACGCACACACCCTTTATAACGTAATATGCATTATACTGTATGTACAACGTTCTTACAATAGTTTTTTTTTTTTTTCTCGGGCGCGCCGTCGGCCGCGGCGAATCGAAAGTCCATAGAGCACTCGTTTGACGTGAAGAATCGCCTCTGTACATTACGGCGGCGCCGTAAATGTTCACTGATTACGACGACGTTTGTTTGTCGCGCTCGGTCGTGTGTATCGCGTCGAAGTTGCGACGGCATTATTGCACTCTATCTGTGGAACGACTGTCTTTAAGATTCAATCGTTGAATCTGTCCAAACCACGTTTCGACTACAAATATATATATATATCGTCTATTTTTATTTATTCAGTGTTTTTTTTTAATTGTCTGACGGAAAACTTGTCTAAATGTCAAGATCTGAGAAACACTACTGTTCGTTTAGTGTCGAAGTCGATGATATGTTAAACAAAAAAAACGCAGTTAAAACCATTTTAGCGAATTGAATCTCGCGATTACGTAACAGGAAAACTGTCCTCCTTAGCTAAAATATTCTATCTAGCGCATGGGAAGAATAAAAACAACTGAGGTTTTATTCTTTTGTTTGCGCCGTCAGCACAGTTAGGACAACTAAGTTAAACATTTTCTTTGGATCAGAAGACATGTCCAAACTCCGGCTCCGGAGCGGTGGGCAAAACCTTTTTCCCCTCTCCACCGCTGAACATGTGTGTCTGATATAGACTATACTATAGTATCGTTTAAATACTACAGTATAGTCTAGTAACATTTAAATATTATAGTATAGTCTATATCAGACACGTCCAGCGATGGAAAGGGGGAAGGTTTCGCCCTCCGGAGCCGGCGTTTGGACATGTCTGTTCTAGACGTCTACAAAGCCTTTAGGACTTTCTAGCTTTATTTGGAAGATGGAACGTAAAAAAGACGTGCGTAAAACTTGCAATACTGCAATATATCTTGAAAAATGCAAAAAATGTGCAAGACATAACATCTTAACTAAGGACGGCAGAAAAGAGCCTCTAATTGTTTTCCTTCGCGCGCGCGAGTTTTTTTTTTTTTTTATTCTTTTTATCGCAACAACTTCAACACGTATACGCGTCACTGACGGATGTCTGTTGTTTCCGCTGCTACTTCGTGATTGTCGTTCCTTATTGCTTAAGCTTTTTATATAAATTTTCCCACCCCCGCTCGCGCTTAACTCTGACACGAGGAACAATCTATTAAAACACAAAATAACACACACTGCGAACAAAATATAATAATGTACACGCGGGATGGACAGATTCGTGCGAATACTTCAAGCAACGGTGCGATCCGAGCCTTCTTCTTCGAGATGGGAAAAACGAGATTAAGGGAGGTCACAAAAATCGTGACGCGCAAATTAACGTTTACACACGCCGCCGACGACGGCGGTGGCGGCGGCGACAGAACTCGCGTTCCGTTTTTTCTTTTTTTTTTCTTTTTTTTTTCAAGTAGAAACATTCTTAACGCGGTGTGCCCAAGGCACCCCAGTGCTCGGCGGCGGGTCATGCGTAATGAGGATACGTGCCGAGATGAGGCGGCACGTGTCCCGAGGCCGTGTGATGGCCGGCATACAAGTTGGCGCCCGGACTCGTCGACCAGTAGCTCGACGCCGACTGGAACAAACCCCCGGGAACGGAAACCGAGACGGACGCCGCCGGCGGCGGCATCAGGTTCAGCTTAGCGTGGCCGTAACCGGACATAAACAGCTCGCTCTGGTATTTGTACGCCGCGGGATCGGCCGCCGCCGGCTGCGTCGCCGCCGCCAATCCCTGGAAATCGAACTTGTACGCGTACCTCTTGCCGTGCACCTTCGTCATGATGTTCTTGTCGTAGTAGTACCTGCGAACACAGAACGAGGAAACTTTGAATTTCCGTTTGAGCGAGAAAAAAATAATCGTTTTTTTTTTTTCATCACGATTTTGATACCAATTCTTAATTAATTAAAACGAAATTTGTGAAGTGAATTTTCAATCCTCGCGAAAAATCTGTTCCGTTGCTTTAAAGAACTTTATTACAAGGGCTAAGAAAATTTTATTTTATAACCGCACAAGTACAGTAGATTGCGCTATATCGTTCGGGCGTCAGGGACAAACTTTTATTGCTCGCGCGCGTATAGAACTAAGATAAGTTTTAGATCGATTTGCGGCCTTTAATTTTTTTCACTTTGAAATTTTGTAACTGGCACACAGCATCTTCGAAAGATCACAATTTCAGCGACTAACTTAACCGATATTGTCGATCCCGTCAGTATACAGGGTGTCCCAGAATGGCCGTACAATCTCTCGTAGGCAGGTAGAAGGAGTAAAACTGAGTCAAAAAGTCTTATACCATTTTGCTAGATTTGCAATAGTTACTGAGATTTTAATTAACAAAGATCCGCGAATAAGCGTGCAT